GTGGAAGGCAGCCGTAAATCAAGGAGGAAGAGGGAAAGAGCCGCAAAGCAAGCTGTCGGAAGCCGTAAAGCAAGCTGAAAGTGCGACATTGAGCTCTAGAATCCGTGGACCGCTCCCTGTCCGCTCCTCGTTCCGCCTGCTGGGCCTTCAACACGCCTTCATTTTGTCTCGGACTGCCGCCGTCCTCGTCTCCGCTGCCCTCTGGCCCGCGGGGCCCAGCCAGCTCGCCTAGTGGATGCGGTTGAAGGCGTTCGAACCCGCGTTTCCTGTGCTTTCTTCCTACAAAACCTCACTCAGTTCCTAGTAGCGAAGTAAGATACCCGAGGGCTGGGAGGTGGCTCTCCCAGAACCTGTCCTTGCACATTTGGGATATTACAAGAGAATGTAGTTATCAGGTCCCTTCATAGATCCACCCCCACGCTGACTGTGGACGTGTTTGTTCAGCAAGCCGGCTTTCTCTCCAACGACCAAACGCATCCAGGCGTCACCTGCTGGCTCCCAAGATGGGGAGGGAAGTCAGCGTGTGGTGACTTGTCGGAAAGGAGCCTTTTAGAATACCCCTTGGAGGTGATGGCATTCCGCTGTTGTTGTTCGGTCCTGTGGCGTCCTTTCTGACTCATAGAGATCCTGGGCCTGAGGACAGCCGAAGGAAACACTGCCAGATCCCCAGCCATCTACGCAATTGCTATGTTTGAGCCCATCCTTGCGGCCACTCTACAATCCATCTTGATGAAATTCTTCCTCCTTTTCACTTACTCTCTAACTTTCCTTCTCCAGGTCTGATATATCCAAATTTACGAGTTCATCCTTTTTAAGGGGCATTGTGGCTGTACTTCTTCAAGGACACATTTGTTTCTTCTTTTGGAAATCCATGGTATATTTGATATTCTTCACCATCATCATAATTCAAATGCTCTAATTCTTCTCTGGTCTTTCTGATTCGTCGTCTACCTTTCACATGCATATGAGGCCATTGGAAATACCATGACTTGGAGCAGGTGCACCATAGCCTTGGTCATGGTATCTTTGCTCTTGAGCACTTTAACGAGGTCTGTGGAAGCAGATTTGCCTAATATGATGCATTCATTTGTCGACTGCTGCTTACTTGACTGTTGATTGTGAATCAAGGTAAAGTTCAATGCTTGATAACTGCAATCTTTCTTTGTCTTGATCCATTGTTTACATTGATCCAGTTGGGAGAATTTTTGTTTTCTTTATATTGAGTTGTACTCCACATCGAAGGCTGTATTTTTATCTTCATCAGTAAGTGCTTCAAGTATGCTTTGCTTATAGCGTGCAAAATTATATCATCCGTATATGGCAGGTTGCTAATGAACCTTTTTCCACTCGGGACCATTTTCTTTTGCAGATATTCCAGATTCTCCGATTATTTGCTCAGCATACAGATTGAAGAAGTATGCTAAAAAGATACAACCCTTGTGCACACTTCTCCTGATTTTAAACCATTCAGTATCCCCCTGGCACTTGGTCTATGTACAGGTTACTCATGACTACAATTAAGTGTTCTGGAATTCCCATTCTTCAAGATTTATCCATAGTTTGTTATGATCCACATAGATAAATGTCTTTGCATAGTCAATCAAATATAAGTAAATGTCTTGCTGGTAGTCTGTGCCTTTAGATCCATGTTGTCAGCAATGATATCTCACATTCCACTTCTGAATCCACCTTGAATTTCTAGCAACAACGCTGTAACCATTTTTGAATTGTCTTCAGCAAATTTTGTTTGCATGTGGTATTAATGATAATTTTTCAGTAATTTTCACCACAATCTATTGAGTCACTTTCTTTTGAATATGGGTCTCTTCCAGTCGGCCAGTTAGCTGTCTTCCAAATTTCTTGGCATAGACTAGGTTCAGTGCTGTGTCAGTTTATGAAAACATTTCAATTGTATTTTATCAATTGTCTTTCACTAATGCCTTCCATGCAGCTTAGACTTCCTCAGTGCCATCAGTTCTTAATCATATATGACCTCCTGAAATGGTTGAACATCAACCAGGTCTTTTTGGTACAGTGACTGTCTATTCTTTCCTTTTCCTGTTGATGACTCATGCATCCTTTAATGTTTTGTGAATAGAATCCTTCAATATTGACCATCAAGATTTGAATTGTTTCTTCTGTTTTGTTTTGTTTTTAGAAATACTGAGCATGTTCTTCCTTTGCACTTATCATTATAATACTTTACTTTGTCTTTTCTTTTTTAAATCGTTTTATTAGGGGCTCATACAACTCTTACCACAATCCACACATACATCAATTGTGTAAAGCACATTTGTACATTCGTTGCCCTCATCATTCTCAAAACATTTGCTCTCCACTTAAGCCCCTGGCATCAGGTCCTCATTTTTTACTTTGTCTTCTCAACCACCCTTTGACAATTTCTATTTGACTCTTATACTTCATCATTTCTTCCACTTGATTTAGCTACTTAACATTCAAATGCGAGTTTCAGAGCCTCTTATGGCTTTTTTTTTTTTCTTTGTTCCAATTTTTTCCCCAGTTTTTAAAACTTTTCTTACAGCTCACATCGGCCAGCCGGGTTCATTCTAACTCCTTCACTGCCAAACCTGGGCCAGCTTTCAGCCTTCTCTTTATCCGTGATGGCAAAGGTGTAGAGGCACCTGCTGCACTGAACCTTGAACTTCACATTGTCCTTATTTTTAAATTTTTTTCTTATCTTGACAGATTTGGGGTCCTTTCGCCAAACTATGAGCAGAAAATCCTTGATGTCCTCAATTTTTTGAGGCATGATGACAAGATGTGAATGAGCACAGCAAGAAGTGAGGAGGGCAGAAGAGCTGACATTCATTTTATCTTTTCTTCTTCCATGTCTTTCTGTATGATGTTTTATTTTCTTCAAGAGCGATGCTTGTGGTGTCTTCTCCATACTCCTTTGGTCTTCGATCATTACTGTGCAATGTGTCAAATCTATTCTTGAGCTGGTCTCCAAGTTTAGGTGGTATAAACTCAAGGTCATATTTTGGTTCTCATAGTTTTAATTTTCGGCAGCTTCAACTTGAATGTGAGAAATTGATGATCTGCTCCACAGTCAGCTTCTGGCCTTATTTTGGCTACAAATATCGAGCTTCCCTTATCTTCTCTTCCCATAGATATAGTCAATTTTATTCCTATATATTGTCTCTAGTAAGGCCCACATGTATAGTTGCCTTTTATATGGTTGGAAAAGGTACTTGTAATGAAGAAGAGATTGGTCATGCAAGATTGCTAACTTAATGTCTGTCACCAAGGCCTTATTTCCTATTTACTGATCTTCACTCTTTGTTTCCAACTTTCTCATTCCAATCACCAGTAGTTATCAATATATCTTCATTGTATGTTTGATCAATTTCAGATTGAAGAAGTTGGCTGAATTCTTCAATATCTTCATCATTGGCTTCAGTGATTGGTATGTAAAGTTGAATGATAGTTGTAATAATTGATCTTCCTCATAGGCATATAGATATTATCCTATCACAGTCAGCATTGTACCTCAAAATCGATCTTAAAATGTTCTTTTCGACAATGAATGTGATGCCATTCTTCAATTTGCCGTTCCCAGATTGATAAACCATGTATTTGTCTGATTCAAAATGGCCAACACCAGTCTGCTTCAGCTTACAAGAGAAATCTTGGTGTGTTCTGCTTCATTTTTGGCAACTTTAAGTTTTTCCATATTCATACTTCATATATTTCATGTTCCTATGAATGGATTTTTACAGCTCTCCTCATTTTGAGTTTTATTCCATCAGCAGATGAAGCTCCTGAAAGCTTTACTGCAAATGCCTCCAAGGAAGATCAGTTCATCCTTCCACTCCTTAAGGTCAGCCCCACCCTGGAGAGGCGGATCTTCCCCAGTTGCATTTGGAGTGCCATCTCACATAAGAAGGTCATCTTCCAGCACTCTATCAGATAAGGGACCACTGCCATTCATAAGATTTTCAGTGACTAATTTCTTAGAAGTGAACTGTCCATTCCTTCTTCATAGTCTGTCGTAGTCTGAAAGCTCCCTTGAAAATGGTTGTAGAAGCTTGAAAAGTCTGAGTTCAAGTCAGTCAAGAGGCTTCTCTTGACTCATAAAGCCACAAGAGTTACTTCATGAAATCAGCTCCTCCAGACAGAATCAAAGAATAATAATACTTTAGCATTAAAGAAGAAATCTAACTGCCCTATACCTAGACCCTTTTCATTGTTTCCTAAGGGAAACGTAGTATCAAAATGGTCCTCCTCAAGGGTAAAAACTTAATTTGATTTTTCATTGGATGTTTGTAAGCCTTTAAGGAAGGTTTTGTTCACGGTTCAAGTATTATAAACACGTCTGTACTAATTTTAGTACTGGTGGGTTGTGGTTACATGTTGGGCTGCTAACTGCAAGATAACCAGCACTCACTACTCAGGAGAAAGACAGGGCTTTCTACGCCATTACAGTCTTGGACACTCACAGGAGGAGGTCTACCCAGTCTTGTAGAGTCACTGTGAGTAGGCTTTAACTTGACAACAGGAGTTTGGTTTGATTTTTATTTTTGCTGCTTTTTTGTAAGTTTGAAATTATTTACAAATTAAAAGTTTAAAATACTGTCTGTATATGCAATATGATTATACATTTGTATTGTATGTATTATGTATATGTTCTTTTTTTTAATCCCTCAAAAATTGAAATACAGAGTTAATCATATGACCCAGCAATTCCTTATGCATTTCCATATGCCTCCACAGTACACAAGGATTGTCTTTATTATCAGAAAAAAAATAATAATTATAATGACAGCTGGGGCATTTTTTTTTCTACTGGCATATGTCTTCAGTACCAATACCTGTGTAACTAATACCTGTGTTTTTTAATAACTTCCTTAAAAAATGCTCAGGTTTTTAAAATCATACTGTGTCCTGAGCATAATCCTTTGAGGTGGAAACTTAGCATTTTGATTCATACTTTGCAACAGAGTACTATTCCATAACCTTAAAGCACACTCCTGTGGGATGTCCAAATTCTGCCTCTTCCAGTACAGCTGGTTGTTATTATTGTGAATCTGCCTTCAAGCATACCCTCACATCTTGAAGGCAGACATATTAAAAATTAATTCCTTCTACCTGGGTTGTCAACCCAGTGCAATGAGAAACAAATATTTGCTTTTAAAACCAAAAGGCAGGTGGGGGGAGTCCATAGGCGGAGAGGTTCAGATGCGGTCCAGACCGTTCCAGAGTCGCAGTGAGCCACACTGCCAACTGTCTCCTTCCATTAATCCTGATGCTTGCTCGACAGGCATTTGCGTCAGGCAGGCCACACACTGAAGTCCTTCGATTTTCTTTTGTGTTTTCACTAAGCGTAAGCGAGCAGCCACCTCCTTCCTCTCGCACTAAAAAGTAAACTTACTGTCTGCAGGTCCCTGGACCAGCAAAAGTGCGTGACATGGGGCGGACGTCAAAGGACAAGCGGGATGTTTATTACCGCCTGGCCAAGGAAAACGGCTGGCGCGCCCGTAGTGCTTTTAAACTACTACAACTCGACGAAGAATTCCAGCTCTTTCAAGGGGTGGTGCGGGCTGTGGACTTGTGCGCAGCCCCAGGCAGCTGGAGCCAAGTCCTGAGCCAGAAGATTACGGACGGACACGTGGTGGCGGTGGATCTGCAGGCGATGGCCCCGCTTCCAGGTGTGTTACAAATCCAGGGTGACATCACCCAGCTGTCTACTGCCAAGGAGATCATTCAGCACTTTGAGGGCTGCCCCGCAGACCTTGTCGTGTGTGATGGGGCCCCGGATGTAACTGGCCTTCACGATGTGGATGAGTACATGCAGGCCCAGCTCCTCCTAGCTGCTCTGAACATTGCTACCCACGTTCTGAAACCCGGGGGCTGCTTTGTGTCCAAGATCTTCCGAGGCCGGGATGTGACGCTGCTCTACAGCCAGCTGCGGGTCTTCTTCTCGAAGGTGGTGTGTGCCAAGCCCCGGAGCAGCCGGAACTCCAGCATTGAGGCCTTCGTTGTCTGCCAGGGCTATGACCCTCCTGCGGGCTTCATACCAGACCTGACCAAACCCTTATTGGACCACACATACGACCCAGATTTCAACCAGCTAGATGGCCCCACCCGCATCATCGTGCCATTCGTGACCTGTGGGGACCTGAGCGCCTATGATTCCGACCAAAGTTACCCCCTGGATCTCGACGATGGCTCAGAGTACCAGTACACTCCACCCACACAGCCTCCCATCTCTCCACCTTACCAAGAGGCCTGCACGCTGAAGAAGAAGGGACAGCTGGCCAAGGAGATTCGCTCCTAAGAGTCCCTGTTAGCAGAAGACATGTTGCCCCAACCCATGGCTGTCCCACCTTGCCACCCCCAGCTGGCCTTTAAGGTGGAAGACAGTGATATGAATTGTTATAGTAACACATTCAGCTGATTGAACTCTGAAGCTGTTCGTTGTCAGGAGAGCCAGAATTTGCATTGATGAACTTGGTTTCCAATACCGTCATCTCATCAAGAGGGCCTGAACCTGTAAGCAGTCCCAAGTGGAAATAGCAAAGAAATATTGCAAACTAAATAAAAACTTGTTTTTGCACCACAGATGGAATTTTAGAATGAGATCTTGCCTCTTCTCTAGATAAACCTTTCCAGATGTGTCCTATCATGTCCAGAATTTACTTCTAAAGTAGGGGTTCTGAACCAGGATAGAAGTTGAGTATTCATGAACTTGCTGAAGAAAAATACTACATCTTGATCTTCATTTAGAACTGAATTCCATTTCACTCCCGATTATGGATGCTGGCAATAAGTCATAGTAATAAAGTACTACCTGCAACCTTCTCACCTATACAAATTGAGTATTTTCTAGGTTACATTATTGGTGTGGCAGGTATCTCCAAATGTTCTTCACACTCATTATTCCTACTTGGAACCCCTGTCGACATTGTAATCTGAATACTAATAAAGAAATCCATATATTACTTTAAATTTTAAAAATCCAGAAAGGAGGAATGTTCAGGAGGCAAGGTGGCAATCTGAAATATTTTAAGAGATTATTGATCTTTTGTTCCTGTAGCTCTTTGATATCGTGGCACACTAGCACGAGGTCTCCCCATCTCCTTGATTTCTCTCTCCATCCCACTCCTATCCTTGCTTCTACTGATGTCTTAGCAGAAATGAACTTAATGTTCATTCTAAGACTAGTGAAAAATTGATAACCGACTAGCCACTGTTTAGTGTTTTTTTTAATACCCCAAAACATATAATACATAGTTGTGGGTTTTAACCCAAGCAATAAGCCAAATTATTCTTGTACATTCCTTGCACATTACTTTTTTTCCTTATACATTCTTTTTTTTTTTTTTTAAACATTTTATTAGGGGCTCATACAACTCTTATCAGAATCCATACACACATCAATTGTGTAATGCGCATTTGACCTTATACATTCTGTTGCCAGTTTTTTAACTAAAAAGCAACTTTGAGAAAAAGTAGTTATCTAGTAGAAATCTTCATATTATGTTCCTTCAATAATTATCATTCCATGGAGGCCACCCTGGACATAATATCTAAACGTTGGGTTCTCAATCCCAGCTGGGGTCAGATCTACGCTACTTCAATGCAAAATATCTGTGTCTAAATAATGCACTTCCAGGGCAGGGGTTTTAGCTGAATGTGAAGCAGTTTGGAGAAGCCCTGGCTCTCTTCCTGTTCCTGCCAAATCAATCGAGGTACAGAATGAAGCGAAGCCTTTTCCTGTAATGTGTCTTCTTATTTCTGGAAGTCCTGCAAGACAATACAGTGGCAGAACAGATGTGGGTCAGCACAGAACCTGTTGAAAGAGAGAAACAAGACCAGGGCTGCTACAATAACTTGATATTTTCATTTCCAGAGCTTTTTCATTTACCTTCCATTTCAATAAGAGGAATTAAAAGAGTCTGGTTTCACAAGCACTGATTGTATGTTCATAGACCTTCTTCTGCTTTCATGCCATTGACTTAATTTTAAGGGTGTAGTTTCACCTTGAGGAAACCCTTACTTTTCCTTTTGCCCTTGCCATAGCCTAACTGATCATGACAGTCCATTGGAAGCTAGAATAGAGAGTACAGCTATTGAAATTAAGGAAGATCGTGAGGGTTAGTTTTATGTGCCACCTTGGCTAGATGATGGTGCCCAATTGTTTGGTCAAGCACTAGTTTAAATGTGGCTGTGGAAATGTGGTTAACATTGATTTTAAGTAAAGAAGACTACTCAATGATGTGGATAGACCTCATCCAATCAATTCAAAGTCGTAAGAGCAAAACTGAGGTGACACTGAGAGGAAGGAATTCTGCCTCAAGATGTGAAAATACTGCATGAATTTCCAGGCTGCCACCTAACATTAGATTTTAGACTTGCCAGGCCCTACAATTATGTGAGTCAATGTTTTAAAATAAATTTTTACCTTTCTCCTCTTTATCGGTTCTGTTTCTCTGGAGAAACCTGACAATAGTAACTAAACATTTAAAAATATAATAATAAGAGTACTTATATGTGCCACATCCTGTTTTAAGGAGTTTACATGTATGAATTCAAGCATTCTAAATTAAATGCTTTTAAAATGGAGATAACCTCATGAAGTAAGTGCTACAATACTCATTGAATGTAAGATGTTCTAAGTTTTAAGGTTTATCATCATTTACCACCAAGAAGGAGAAGGAAAAGAACTCCCAAGCAACAAATACTTTTTAAAAAAATAATCCAAAAGTTACTACTCCACTGCTGTTTATAAAGGAACCCTGGTGGCACTGTGAGTTAGACTTTGGGTTGATAACAGTAAGATCAGAGGTTCAAACCCACTAACCACTCCATAGGAGAAAGATGAGGTTGCCTGCTCACTCGGAGTCAGAATTGACTGTTTTACAAAGGAGCCCTGGGAGACTAAGTGTTCAGCTGCTCACTTAAAAGTCAGCAGTTTGAATCCCACAGCCACGCCTGGTGAGAAAAGATGAAGCCGGCTGTTTCTGTAAATTTCATAGATGCTAACAGCTGCTGAGCCCCATCCACAGTGGAAGGAAACCCTGTTCTATCCTGCACCATCCCGCAGTAGATTTCACAGCAGACCACTGTGATTCATACGGTTCTTATTGACTATTTTTTTTAATTAAATACTTTTATTCGGGGCTCTTATATCTCATCACAATCCATACATTATCTATTGTGTCAAGCACATTTGCACATATCCAGCCATCATCATTTTCAAAGTACTCTTCCCACTTGAGCCCTTGATATCAGCTCCCCATTTCTTCCCCCTCCTTCTCCCGTCTACCCTTCCTCATGAACCCTTAAGTCATAGATTATTATTTTCATATCTTACATGGTCCTCTGCCATCCCTAACCCACTTTCCTGTTGTCCATCCCCCTAGGAGGGGGTTATAGGTTGGTCCTTGTGATTGATTCCCCCTTTCTCCCCCCACCCTCCCCTAATCCTCCTGGTATCCCTGAGGGGTTTATCTATCCTGGATTCCCTGTGTTGTGACTCTTATCTGTAGCAGTGTGCATGTTCTGGTCTAATCCAGTTTGTAAGGTAGAATTGAGATCATGATAGTTGGGGGGAAGGAAGCACCAAAGAACTAGAGGAAAGTCGTGTGCTTTATCAGTGCCATACTTTATTGACTAGTTTTTATTTTTTTATCAATTTATTGGGGCTCATACAATTCATCACAATACATAGATCAATTGTGTAAAGCACATCTATACATTTGTTGCCCTCATTATTCCCAAAATTCGCTTTCCTCTTGGGTTCCCGGAATCAGCTCATTTTCCTTTTTTTATTGACTAGTTTTTAAAAGTAGATGCCAGGCCTGTCTTCTAGTTCATCTTAGTCTGGAAGCTCTGCTGAAACGTGGTTGCATGTTATATAAAACTGTATACATACAGGGTGCAGGGTAGCAACGATGAAACATAACTTTCCTCTAGTTCTTTAATGCTTCCTCCCCACCAATATCATGATCCCAATTCTGCCTTGAAAATCTGGCTAGATCAGAGGATGTACATTGGTACAGATAGCAACTGGAAACACAGGGAATCCAGTAAAGATGACTCCTTCAGGACCAGTGGTGAGGGGCGAGGCCTAGAGGGTGAAGGGAATGTGGGGTAGAAAGGGGGAACCAATTACAAGAATCTAAGTATAGCCTCCTCCCTGGGGGATGGACAGCAGAGAAGAGGGTGGAGGGAGACATTAGGCAGAGTAACTTATGACAAAACTATAATAATTTATGAATTATGAGGGGTGGAGGGTTATGAAGGGTTCAGGAGGGAGGGGGAAAATGAACAAATGATATTGAGGGCTAAAGTAGAGGGCAAATGTTTTGAGATTGATGAGGGCAACAGGTGTACATATGTGCTTGACTCGATGTATGTATGGACTGTGATAAGAATTGTACAAGCCCTCAATAAAATAATTTTTAAAAAATAATGAGGGTAACAAATGTGCTTTATACAATTGGTGTATGTATGGATTGTGATGAGTTGCATGAGTCCCCAATAAAATGTATACATTCATATATAAAAAATGTATACATGCATATATAAGGAGTGATAACATGGTAAAATGTTAACAGTTGGAGAATATGAGTATAGGGTTTATGGATGCTCTTTGGACTTTTGCAACTTTTCTTTATTTTTTTTGCAACTTTTCTTTAAGAAAAACTGTGTACAAATGAAATGCTTTTAAAGATAATACTTGCCTTACCCACCTGACAGAATTTGGGGGAAGATTAAATGAAGTCTTTTGAGGAGAAGAACTTTGTAAGCTAAGTACTCCTACAAACGTAAAACATAATTATTGCTGCTGAAAATAGCTTTAAAAAGTATGGAGCACTCTACAAATATAAAACAATTATTTTTACTGCATTTTTGTAGGTTCTACTAAGAATAAGTCTAGTTCTATATCCATTCGCTCAATTATTACTCCTTTGAGAGAAGGGTTTTTACAGTCAAAAAGGATTGCCTCTTGATTTTATTGCTTCAGGAAGGTCAGTGATCAATAGTAACTTTATTGCCTTATTTATTACAGAAAATCTATGTCCTGAAAAATTATCTCTTTGTTCTGCATTCACTGCCTGAGACTAAATGGCCTCCTAGTCCCTTCCTAATACTGAAATGTCCCGATTCAATGAAAGCAATTCAGGAAAACAGTTGGTGGAAGGGCTTGTACCATGCCCCGTATCATTCCACGTTTGGATATATGATATGCTGAACCATTGCTTTCTGCACCTTAATGGCTATTTACATGTAAAATTCATACTAAGTCTCCAATTTACAGGAAACAGCTATGGATGGAAATGCTCCTCTTTAAAACCACAATGTCAGCGAATAACTGGGCAGAATACACTTTACTATGTTGTAACCAAAAAAGAAAAAGATAGGCATTCTCCCTTCAGGAGCTCTCAGCTTAATCATGATGCCACTTTCTTTGATACTACAGTGTATGTGCTAACTGATTGAACAACAGTAGGCCACACAGAGTAGGTACTCAATAATACTGAATAAATAAATCTTATTTACATAAGGGCTTCTACACATTTGTTGCATCCCCTTTTTAATCGTTTTATTAGGGACTCATATAGCTCTTATCACAATCCATACATACATCAACTGTATAAAGCACATTTGTACATTCATTGCCCTCATCATTCTCAAAACATTTGATCTCCACCTAAGCCCCTGGCATCAGGTCCTCATTTTTCCCCTCCCTCCCCGCTCCCCCCTCCCTCATGAACCCTTGATAATTTATAAATTATTATTTTGTCATATCTTGCCCTGTC